CTGTGGGGAATCTTTCAACACTGCATTTTCCCCCTTGTTGCAGAAGTGTTTTTCTTCTTTGAGCAAAATTAGTATGGAGAACAAAACTGGAAGCTTGCTTTCGAGGTTTTGCAGACTTTTTGACTTGACTGGTAACTAGAGCCATATGCATAAAAAGAGAATAATTATTCTCTTGAGAATCTAAGCTCGCCTGCTGTTTATTTTACATCAACACCAGCTTCTATACTTGTTTTGCTCAAAATGAATGACTGAATTCCCTTTGCCTTCAGTACTGTTGCTTGGAAGTCTTAGATGTGGTTGCTGGCTTGCATTTTTCTGTGTGTTTTTGTATGTGTGAGGTGTTATTTACCTGCAGTGTACGTGTCTAAAAAGCATATGCAGGAATACCACACCAGGGAAATCACTAGTAAATCAGACCAAAACCACTGTTCCCTTAGAAAGGACACTGTATCATATTTTTGAAAAGTGCAACAGCAGAACCAGCTTAGTTTTCAATGCTTGATTTTGTAAAGAGAAAATATTTTATCTTTTTTTTTTTTTTTTTATTCCTTCCCATCCTCTTTGTAATTCTGACCATTACCAGGGTTCCTTCTATGTATACATGTGATGCTTTAAGGAGCTGGAAGCTCCATTACTGAAGGCAGCAGTGACCTATAAGAAAAGACTGAAGTGATTTGGATTGCTTCATGCCAGAGGTTTCTGAGTAGAGCTATAAAATACCTTTAAGTATTTCTGCATAGAAAGAAAAGGAGTGTCCTTTTACTATTTTCTATGATCCTAAGACCAGCATTAATGGCTTTACAATTTTTCAAGAGCAATAGGGGCAAGACATCAGCAAAAAAAGAATATAGCAGAGAAAGTGAAGAATTAAAACAGATCTCCAAGACAGAGTGCAGAATCTTAATGGCTGGAGGCTTTTAAAAACAAGTTGACATCCTCTTCCCCCATGGCAGGTAGATCATGTGTACTTTGTGTAACAGCTATGTGCTGTTATCATAATACAGAACAAAGACAGAGCACTCCAACAGCTTTGCTTCTTTGTTTGGCTTTTGTTTTTAAGATTAATAACACATCAGAAAACGGTAGTTAAATAAGTAACCTGCATTACTTGTACAAAAAGTTAGACAAATATTTTTGCTGTTTTGTTTTCTTTTTAGAGAAGGAAAGTGTCCTTTCATAAAATATCCATCAATCCTTATCTTACTGAGATGCTGCCAAGTCACAATTCAGAGGACAGACATGTGAAATTAAAATCACACTGTACATAGAAAACACAGTGGCTCCTCCAGACCTGATCCTTTGTTTTTATCCTGTTCACACTTACACAGCTACTATTCAACTTGTGAGCATCTGAATCTTTTACTATTAAACAAATGAAAATAGTCCCTGTACTTTTTTATTTAAAAAAAAAACCCTACTGTACTAGCAATATCCACCTCATTGCCATCATCATTATCATTATTATTATTGTTATTGTTATTAAGGAATTGTCCTTCATCCCATGCATAACTATCACTTTGCAAGTTAAAAACATCATCCCTCCCTCATGTCATAGTTTACAAAGCACTCTGTGCACAGTGAAGCAGATCCCAGTTAAATGCAAGTGCTATTAAAGTTAAGAAAAATGCACCATTACTGTTGATTTTAGAGGAAAAAAAAATCTAGGGAGACTCAAAAAGTCCCCAAAATAGTTTTATCTGGGGAAAATAATGTACAATTCCTAATATTGCACTTTTTATACAAGAAATCCTAATAAATATACAGAAAAGATATACATTTACATACATAGAAAGACATTCTTTTCTTAAATAAAAAGTTACGCTGATGTTTAGCAACACTATTTCTTGAAGACTCATTTGTAGTAAGAGCGTTCACTGCCAGATGTGTTTTGAAGTAACCCAGCTCAAGGCAGTTTAATGTCATGAGCCTGGCACTACCTCAAAAGTGGAATCCCAGTTTTGTGGAGAAATCCATGTGCCATGGAAGCTGTAGCACAACAGTACTTGAAGAGCTTTTCATTAACATACAGGCATGAGCCTCACTAGAGCTGACTGGAGAGGCACAGCCAAGCCTTTGATTTAGAGAGGGTCTTGAACCAAAGCCTCAGATCCAGATAGCTCTCCTTCACAGATTCACGGTGCTCAAACACCCTGCTTCTGAGATTTCCTCGGATTTTAGGGCCCTGTTCTGAGCAGAGGAGAGCATGCCCAGGAACTGAAAGGACCAAGCACCTCAGTGACCGAATAACCATGGAAGCTGGCTAAGGTGAAAGACTCAGCTTGCAGTGTGTGTGATGTTTGAGCCTGACTTTTTAGATTGTATCTTCAGGTTGTTATACATGGGCTTAAAATTGTGCTGGTTTATAGCACCTGTTTTGTTGTGGGAGACAGCTGGAGAGGAGCAACCTTGTTAAAAATTACTTGTATTAGTCCTCTGGGGCTGATGCTGAATCCACTCTATTTCTACTGAGTAGGCATAACAAGGAAACAGAATGCAGCTCTTTTCGACTACTTGTCCAAAAGGTTTGGCTGCCAGGAGAGAAAATTACTGTTAGCAGGATTGGAGAGCCCACTTCCTCAAGTTCCTTTTGAAAACCCCAGGTCTGAAAGCACCTGTGCTCTGAGAACTGGTACTCCCCTCTTTTCCAGTAAGTGTTAGTAGGATTCAGTACGCAAAGTACCTCCTGTTACCACAGACAATTTCTGTCTTGCCTGCTTGTACTACAGGACAGCATTTACAGGTTTTGACTACAATCTGTTAATAGCAGATCATATTTTCTCTCCTTATCCTGGGTAATAATTAACATAATCACCTCACTGCTGTGCTGAGGGCAACCCTCTCATTCCTAACCCTCCCTCACAAGCACAAGGTGGAAACATTTTCAGGTGTGTTTTAGACTCACTCAGATTACACACCATTGTTCAACTTCCCCAGACACCAGATCCTCAAGTATCACAATGAACTCCCACTGAAATAATTTGAAGGCCTGGTGTGAAAAGGCAACAGGGCTTTAGAAAGAAAAAAAGGAGCCCCACCTTGGATGTAACAAATAGGTTTATAAAGCAAAATCATGTGCTTATATTCTCAAAGTAATCTAAGATAGATAAAACATCTCTATACTGCATAGCTGAATGCTTAGTTTAGTGTTTTTCTTTCTTCAAGTACCCCATCACCTGCCAAGTCGTTTGATTGTTTCATATTGTGGTGGTCCAATATGATGTTAGGTTCTTTCTCTGATCTGTTTCCTCAGCTGTCTGTCTGTGTATCCCCAGGCACTGGGACATGGGGATTATGGGGCAGCCTCACTCCTCTCAAAACCATTGCTGGTGGCATGGGCTCATGAACACTTCGTGATCTACCTTCATGATGGTGTTTTGCTGCATTCTGTCTCCCAGATTCATATAAGGAAAAACTTGTTAAGTCCCTTTCGACAATGATTTGGGAAAAGATTTTCTTTAATTTCCTTTTTTTTTTTTCTCTTTTAGGGAAATAAATAAATAAAACGAGAAAAAAAAATTCCATTCCATTTATATTTTCTGTAAAAATCCTTGCCTCAGTGAAGCAAAGGCTGTGATCCCCTTGTTCCTCCGTTTTCATTGCTTTTGTCTTCAAGCTTTTCCGCAAGTCCCACAGCAACGTGACTTGAACTGGGTGAGCTGGCAGAGTTTTAGCTGCTTCACTTTCTCACAGTACCTTGTGGTGTCTGTGCACTCCACTGCCAAAGGAGAAACAAAAAGGATAAATGGTGGTGAAGCAATGAAAGAAGGATTTCTTACCTAAGAACATTTCCTGGGCTGGGCAAGAGGGGGCCCAAGACAGCTTTGTGTTGGGAGGTCTCACTATGAACACGAGCTCAACTTGCTGCAAAGATTGAATGTAGACTTCAAGCAGCCAAAAGCTCAAAGGAGAATGTGGTGGGCAGCCTTTGTTTTCAGAGCCTAGGGAGAGAGCTTCTGAGGCTTCTCCAACACTGTGCACCATAGTCATCTAGCACCATTTTAGGGAGGCGCTAGGAGTTTCACAACAGTTGTCAAGCCAAATGTGAAGTAGTAAATAAAACTGGAAATTTATTTTAACAAACTAGTTCAAAGGCATGTTGGACAACCTTTTGCATTTGAAGAGACAGTGTGTTGGAGTGTCACCCCCACTGACTGTTTTGCTTTTCACATGTATGTTGCAGAATGCAGGCCAGAGTGAAGATGTTAAGACACTTTTTGAACCCTCCTGGGACTTACGTCCTGGTATTGTGCGGACAGTTTCTGAGGGCTGCAGCCTCCTGCTTTTTAGTTTCACATTGGAAAACTGTTCAGTATTCCTGCAAGACCTCTGGTGTGATGTCACCTGAGGGAGTCCCACTTCCCGTGCTAAGGCTGGAAATTTGGGTCATCACAGGGCAGTCGCACAGCTCTCTCCAGTAATGCCTGTGCCAAATGGCTCCACTGTTTTCTAAATGGGGGAGGTTTCTATACAGCAGGTAGAGGCCGGAGTGACAGGAAAGGTATTGCTTGGTATCTGTAAGCTCCCTCAGCACTTCCACTTCTTTTAGGGCACCCCAAACTCAGCTCACAGGTTTGGACCTATGGAGTTTGCTTTGCCTCTACTGGGAGCGTACTTTGCTGCTACTGCGAGGGAGCATCAGAACTGTCCTGGCCATACGCAAGCACAGCTGGCTTCTGCTGTTGCTTCTGCGACAATTGCACAGCAACTGGCTTTCATTCTAGAGGATGGGATCTGTCCGTCAAGATCAGCACATGAAGTGGGAGCTGGGGCAAATGAAAAGACAGTAATTTAAACTTTTGCTGCCTGGTGTTTCCAAAGCGGACATAGTTATAATGGGGCATTGTTTCCAAAGAAGCACTTTTTTTAAAAAAAGTAAGATTTGTAACTTCGTTAGTCCTTTGGGTGGCCTAGTTGCTTGTCGCCTGAAAGGAAACAGCCTCCACCCTAGGAATTTACATCTCATCCACCTACCCACTGGATTTAGACCTACTGCATTTTGCCTATAGCCAGTAGTCTGTTTGAGATTCACGCTTTTCTTTCTGACTGTACCATTAACAGAAAGTTAAGGCTGCATCTGCCATTTCCAGCACTTTTAGCAAAGGAACACTACCCCAGCACTAATACCATTACCAAAACACCACAGTGGGCACCATTCCACGCTGGGGCCCAGTGTTTTGGACTCTGCGTTTTTGAACAGGTTGGGGCTGGGGGTTCCCCTGGATTCAGCTGCACAGCCCAGTCATGAATTTCTGAGCAATGGGCTCTGCCTTCTTTCCTCACCCCGCTTGGCACTTCCTCCCCTCTTCTGAGCAAAATACCGTTTTCACAGGGCATGATGTTGCAGCGCTGCCAATTCACCGGCCTCGGCCTCCAGGAGCAGCGGTGCTCCAGCACGGGCTTGTTGGTGCGGGCGTGCACGCAGTCCACACGCCGGGACTGGAAG